CTTTGAAGGAGAATTCCTGGCCAGGAAGAGCCTCGGGTGATGTGAATGTCTGATGGGCAGCGGCACTGAAAGTGAAGGGGGTGGGAGGAAGAGCATTTCAAAGTTGAGAGGGTTCAGAGAAGAAAGCGGGAGAGGCATCCAGACCAGTGGCTCTGCGGGGAGTGGTGGGATGTGAGCTTAAGAAATTACGTAGAGGCTGTGAGCGACCAGGTAAAGGGTTTCCCCGGCAGGCAATGACAGATCAGAGTTCAAGTTCAGAAAGAGCGTAAATTCAGCAGGGATTTAAGGGAGTCTGATCTAGCTGCCTTGTGGAGGATGGGTTAGAAAAGAGAGAGACAGAAGGCAGAAAAGCAAGATTTCTATGCTAAACCGGTAGAGGAAATGAGAGGAGAGGAAATGAGAATCAAACTCATGAGGTGACACTGGCACCTGCAAAATATGATACTTCACAGAGGTACCAACTGCCTGACTCAGCCATCGGTTCCAGGTGGGAGATGAAGGAGCTGGAAAGGAATATGGCTCCAACATTTTAAGCCTGGGTGACAGGGATAGAGATGTGAAGCCATCCGAGGGATGATGCCTGGCTTTGCAGCACGTTCTTTCTCTCGTGGCGCTTTTATGCCCCCACCTCGCAGCATGCGGGGTCGTAGTGGCCTGCAGGATCTTAGTTCCCCAACCAGGGATCAGATCTGTGCCCCCTGCAGTAAGAGCACAGAGTCTTAACCACGGGACTGCCAGGGGCGACCCTGCAGCACAGTCTTTGAAGAAGGCAGTTTCACCTGAGTGGCTCTGGCAGGAAGCAGCCGCCGAGTGTCGAGGAGTGAGTGGGTAGTGAGGAAGTGGAAGCAGAGGGTAAGCTTTTAAGACGCTGGGAGTACAGGACTGGGGAGACTGGGCGGTGGCTGGGACAGTCCTGGATTAAAGGAAGGGGTTTTGGGACTGGGGAGACAACGCAGCACATTTTAATCGTAACAGAGGTTCCAGTGATGATAATTATTCTTTGAGCCCTTAGTAGTTTATAAATTGCAAATTATCTCATGTTCTCAACACAAAACTTTGAATAGAGAGATCAGATCACAAAGAAGGTAGCAAGCAACAGAGCTAGGACTAGCTCTTTCTGCTCCATACTCCCCAAATATAGCAAGAGATTGAAGATGCAACCAGTCTCTTTGAAGGACTAACGTCACAGTAGAAGGAGACAGGCTGTAGAGCAAAGGCAGAGGAAAAGGAAGTATTAAGAATATTATTCCTCAGAGACAAGCGCACAGGAGGCCACAAGGGATGAAAATGCAAAACTATTTGAGCGGCAAAGGAGGAAGTGGAGGAAACAAAAGCTGGGCAGCTTTGAGCTTCTGAGTAAATGATGGAAGCATTAGACCTAAAAGTCATTATTCAAACCAAAGCCCATAAACGCTGTGAGGTCTTCTTCAGTAGAGGGACACGGAAATAGTGGTGCCTTTTACAAACCCAAGAAGATCTGCAGAAATTGCTGTAATAAAACAGGGCAGTGTCTGATAAACTGAGTCCTGATTTTAGTATAGTTCAGTGATAATAAAATCTTATGACCACATTTTGACCAATGTGATCAGTAACCACTACCAGTGTACCAACTAGTCTTTGAGCATATCTGTGTGTTGGAAAACACACAGTTGGGACAAACAGTCATGGTGAACAATTAAAGAAAAAATATATATAGGGTAAGGCTACGGGAACCTACAATAACCTGATGAGTGTGTGGTCTAGTTTCATATATTCCCATAGAATAAAATGAATAAAACCTTTCATTACCCAGAGTCAGTCTACAATGACCTGGCATGCATATATATATACACACACACACGTATGCCATAAAAAATAAAGTAGCATAGAGAAACAAGTATGTTTGTGTTTATAAACTATTTTACAGTAGCATGTGTGGAAGGCTTTGTAGAAATATAGTTGCCATAGTGAGACATCATTTTAAGAGAAATAAAATACTCCCCTCCAATGGTCATTACTGTCATTAGTCATGGCAGACAAAGCCCAAGTAGGACTTGTTTACATAAAAGGTTTACCTGACTACTAATATAGACACAGCCTTAGGCAGTTGAAAAGTGAGGAGAAATGAAAACAATGGTAGTCCAATCATCTCCTTCTGTCCAGATGATTGATGACCTTTGCTTTTTAAGTTGTCCTCATTAAAACGAGCCCTCTGGAGAGGAGTGTGGTAACCTCAGCTCATTCCATACTTACCGTGAGAAAATTAATTAACCACTCAGAACCCCCATTCCCACAACTGCAGAAAAAAAGAAACTGCCCACTTAGTAGGGAAGGTGTGGGAGAGTGGGAACTAAGTAGCACAGAGTGGGTGCTCAGTGAACAACTCTAACTATGTGGTCCAGCCCGAGGTGCCTCAGAAAAAGCACGAGCCTCGGAGCCCTAGGGGCTGCCTTTCTGGTTTGGTTCCATCACTAAGCACAAGGTCTTTAACAAGGCATGTCTCATCCTTGGGCCACAGTTTCCTCATTTATCAAATGAACGGAATGGTTTCTGAGGTCTGACTGGCCCTAAAAACTCTGCCCGAATCCGTCTGTAAACACCTTAGTGGTCTATATTAAAATATTCCCTCCTGCTGGTGGTCTTGTGGGGTGGTTTGTGGTGCAAAGCAGATCCCTAAGAGCACACGACATCTGGTAATCTAGGGCTGGGGTAAAATCAGGTGTGAAGCACCCACAGCCTCCCCTCTTCCCCTTCAGCCACGGCCCAGACAGATACTCTGTTTTCAACTGATTTATAGTCATCCAAATCGCACATCTATTTGAAGGAAAAGGAAGAGACTCATAAGTGAACGGCTGAATTCCTATTCCCCACGGGGGACAAAGCAGCCTGGTACCACGGATACCTTGTTGGCTAGGTCCAAGCCCTCATTTTAAATCTCTGATGGTTGTGTAACTTTGAACAAGTTACCTAACTTCTCGGTGCCCTTGTTACCCTTTCTACAAAACAGAGGCAACGATTCATCCCTTGTCTGCCCTGTGAAGCTCAGATGAGATGCCAGATGTGAAATGTCTTTGTTACTAGGAAGTGGGTACAGATGTGAGGCCTGGGAGACTCCCGAGCCCCCGTCTTCCAGCACACCTGCAGGTGCCCAGCCCTGCGTGACTTTAGGCAGATAAGTAAGCTGGACAGACAGCCTTTGGCCTCCAAGGCCCCCTACGTGACTTACAGTCAGTAAAGACAAGACCAAAATTGCGTCCCTAAAGAGAGATTTCCAGGTCCCAGGAAAGACCCAATAGAATTCATGTAAGTAATTGACATAAAGAAATGAATACTGAAGGGAATCACATGATGAAGAAGGTAGAACAGTCTTAAAGTGTTAGAGCTGGAAAGGGACATCTCTATTCAGCAATTGATCATGACGAAGGACGAATAGCATTGACTACTTTCTGCCTGTGTACTGGGCACTTTCACTTACGTTAACTTATTTATTTCTCACAACATGTCTCTGAAAGGGGTATTGTTCTCATTTTTCAGATGGGAAAAATAGAAACTACTGCTCCTAAAGGTAAAAATATTAAGAACAAGAACAAAAGCAGCTAATAACGATTAAGACATGGGTGCTTTGCTCATATTTACTTCTTCAATAATATTCATGAAGAAACTACTAAATCCAGGCATAATTTTAAATACTAAACAAGAGAGAACACAAGGAATTTATATTCTAGTGGGGAGAGACTGACGGTAACCAAGCAAGCAAATACAGTAATTCCTCACAGTGATAAGTGCTACCAAATACATAAAGTGGGATGTTGTGAGAGAGATGCATTGTGGGTTGAGGGTTCAGGAATGGCTTCTTTGAGAGGCTGACATTTGAGCTATCCCTGGACGGGAAAGAAACCAGCCACGCACACACCATCAGCCCATTTAAGTCTCACAGCAACCCTATGAGATAAGAATTATCACTATACCCATTTTACAGCTGAAGAAGCTGAGGCCCAGAGAGTTTAAAGAACTTTTACCCAGAGTTTCACAGCAAATAGAAGAATCATGATCTAAACCTAGGCAGTCTGATTCAGAGGCCACAGTCTCACACAGAGCCTTCGAGAGCCTCCTTGAAGTGATTTACTCAAGGTGGCAGAGTTAGTGGGAGGAGGGAAGATTGACTCGGCCCCTCTCGACTCCAACAGTCTTCACCATCCTCCATCATGGTGACTCTGGCCCATCCCAAAGGACAAAAGCAGGTAAGCAAAGGGACAAGGACGAGCCCACACAAAACACATTTTCCAATATGAAAGCACAAGAAAAGCATCCAGAGATGACAGACACACACAACATACAGAATATGAGCACAATGTTCTCTACAAAGAGAAAACACGTCCCAAACGTGTCTGTCAAGAATCCTGGCAGGGGCTTCCCCGGTGGCGCAGTGGTTGAGAGTACGCCTGCCGATGCAGGGGACACGGGTTCGTGCCCCGGTCCGGGAGGATCCCACATGCCGCGGAGCGGCTGGGCCCGTGAGCCATGGCCGCTGCGCCTGCGCGTCCGGAGCC